TGTGCACGCTCGGTTCCTTGCCGCCGAGTCGGTCGAGGACGCTTCGGCGAACAGTCTAAGGTCGTTCTCGGTGAGTAGATTCTGGCCGAGAAGCTGAGCTGCTGCTCTTATGCGTTTCTGGTCGGGAGGATGAGGATCCTTTGAAAAATTGAGGGTTCTTTTTCCTTTCTTTTTCAGTTTTCCAGGTATCTTCTTCCCATTCTCCCAGTTCCCGGGAGGAAGGAAGCTTCCCACCATCACGGTCTAGCTTCCTCCGTTGATGCCGGGTATGCGGAGGAGTTCGATCACGAGGTGGTGGCATATTTTGTGCCCTCATTGCCTCCATGAGCACTGCCAGCGCTCTTGCCACCTCCTCCGAGCTAGGCCCCGCCAAAGGGGTCCTCGGCCGAGTATGGGAATGAGAGCGCACAGTCGATGGTTGGCTTTGGGGCACTGAATGTGTCCTATGATCGGACTCACCCCTGCTAGACCGAGAGTGACTCGGCCTATGATGAGAGTTATGAATTACGGGAGAAAGGGAATCCTCCCTGTATGATCCTCCCCCCGAGCTGGCACCCTTGGGAGAGTTCCGGTCCGGCGAGGGTGATGGTGTAGGGGTTTTAGGCTTTTCGCCTGCTCCTTGACGGAGGCCTTTTCTCTTGCGGTTCTTAGCCATTGCTACTAAGATTATTGCAAGATGATCTTGGTTAGAAATTTGGCTTAAAGATTTTTGAAAGTCTTCCCCACAGACGGCGCCAAATTGTTTCGGGTGAAAACAATGGGACCTTGTCGAAGGTCCGATGAAGTGGAGAAGACTAGATTCGATCCAAGTAATGTTGGGCCGAAGGTTTCCTGCACAGTAAACACACGTAAACTAGCCTCGGGGGTGTTGCCGAGGAAGGCCCCTCCGATGCTAAAGTCAGTACAGTGTGTAGAAAGAGAACACTATGCAAGAGAATTAATTGCTTGAGGCTTTGCTTGAATGAATGTACAAATGTAATATTGATGGCTTTTATACCTTTGCATACATGGAGAAGTTGGGCCTTAGCCCAATTGGCTTGCCATGAGGACTGATCTTTGACTTTAGCACAATTGGAGAGATGAACCTTGACCTTGGGCTTTTAATTGGATCATTTAATGCCTAGGCCCAATTGGACTAAATTGGACCCAAACACATATATTTATCATCATCAAAAATGTCTTTCACCAAGCTTGGCCAACAAACAATTTCATCCACCAATACTTCATCAAAACGAAGACTCTTGGTTCTAATTCTTCTCTTTGTTATCTCTTTCCCTCTTCTCTTCCTTAGTACGGCGTTCTTCCCTAATCCTCAACTCGTTGATGTCATCCATCTCCAGACACAGTCTCAGACTCAGACTCAGTCCTCCATCTTATATCCAAACAAGGTCATACCACCTAAATGGCTTAAGGTCATTCTTGAGACTCACTTAACACCTTATGAAACCCTTAAGGTGGGTTTGGTCAACTTTGAGGATCTAGACCGATCTGACCTGGATCTAGATGGGACTGCAAAGTATGTACACATAAATATTGATTCCGTTTCATCTAATATAACTTGGGAAAAACTCTTTCCAGAGTGGATAGATGAGACGAATCCTCAAGGTTGGTGCCCAGAGATCCCCATGCCAAAGCTGGGGAAGTACTTTGGGCTCGACGTGGTGGTGGCTCAATTGTCATGCAAGGAGGAAAAGGTAGAGATTGAAAGTAATGAAAATCATAGGAAAGAGGGAACAAGAGATGTGGATAGGCTACAAATAAGCTTGGCAACTGCTCATCTTGTTGTTGAGAATGGGATTAATAGCCAAGAGAAGGATGTTTACGCGGTGTTTATTGCAAATTGTGAGCCCATGTTGGAGCTATTTAGGTGTGATGATTTGTTATGGCATGGAGGGGAATATTGGGTGTATAAGCCTAATATAGAGAAGTTGAAGGAGATGGTAAAAATGCCTGTAGGAAGTTGTGCCCTTGCCCATCCTAGTGCTAGAAATCCAGGTAATAATTTATTTGCTAATCTAGGTGTTACATTTTGGTTACATGCATGCATGTTTATTCTTTGTTATTGTTAAATTAGGGTGAATACATTTTCATGCTTTGGAAATCATGCTTTAGCAAAATAAGATGCTCCATCACTTTTTTCTTCTTAAATGTTGGGAAACAATAGTTTTGACTTTTGATTTCTTCTTTATGTGTAAGAATATTTATTGTTTAAATTAGATGAATAAAAGCATAGGGCCAAAATTCATTAACAAACTTGACAAAGAAAGGAAGAGCAACCAACTCTTATAATAAAATAGACAAAAGATAGAAAATATGATAAACTTGAAGAAAACTAATAAGGGATCAAGTGATTCAACAACACAATATCTAATATTGATTACCCTCTATAATGACACACTACATAGTCATCAATCCTTCAATATTGACATTTAGTGAGTCAACAAGTCTCTTAGGAACTTTTCCCATCCGTCCAAAATTCATATTCTCATTGTAAAATTTTGTCTCTATCTACGTGTCATCAAGGATATGATATGATAGTACTAAATATATATATATTTTTTATTATTAATTACAGTTTTGCCATTTTAATAGTTTACCTTGTTTAATTCGAATTATAGCATTCCAATTATAAACCATTTATTACTTGTAGTAAACGCAACAACATTTATCAAACATCAAATCATTAATTTATTATATTAAAAAAAATAAAATTCTACAAAAACAGTTTAGGAGAGAGACAATAATAAATATAATACAACCAACAATAAGGGATGTAATTAGTATTACATATAATTAGTTGATCTTGACAATTAGACAAAGAGATACCATATACTGATATACGAGTACATTTTTTACATAACAATGGTTAAGATGTTATTTTCTATATAACATCATTCTACATCTAGCAAAACATATATTAAGACTATATTTCTAAATTAATCCACATAATTGGTCTTACAATGAAGGTTAACGTATTGGTTTAATTTTGTTCATTTCATTTCATCATAGATATGTGTATGCACGTTGTATTACTTATATTCAATCTTGGCTTAAAAGTCAACTTCTCAACTATATATACGTATATTATTAAAAAGTAAATTAATTAAAACCTTACAAAACTTGTACACTATAATTCAATAAATTACTCACAAAATTTTCTTTTTCTAAGATTTACCAAATTGATTTATCTTATTGCTAATTAGCATCCACAGGTAGTAGACAATTGCAAGCCTTCGCACGTCAATTACCTTATGAGCTTCAAGGGTTAGAGAGATCACCAAGAGAAGCCTATGTCACGGTCCTTCACTTGTCCGAAGACTACGTGTGTGGAGCCATAGCTCTAGCTCAAAGCATCCTCCAGACTAACACCACTAAGGACCTAATCCTCCTGGCAGACCGGACCATTTCACGTAGTTCTATCTTAGGTCTACAAGCCGCGGGTTGGAAGATAAAACGAATTGATCGAATCAAGAGTCCCAATGCCAAGATAGATGCCTATAACGAGTGGAACTATAGCAAGCTAAGAATATGGCAATTAATCGAGTATGACAAACTCATCTTCATTGACTCCGATTTCATAGTGTTACGCAACATTGACCATTTATTTAGCTATCCACAGCTCTCAGCTGCACCTAATGACAAATGGCTCTTTAACTCGGGGATCATGGTCCTAGAACCATCTAAGTGCTTTTTTGATAATCTTATGAGCAAACGTTACACCTTTAAGTCCTACAATGGTGGGGACCAAGGATATTTGAATGAGGTCATAACCTGGTGGCACAGGCTAACCCTAAAATTAAACTTCTTAAAGTTTTTCGACAAAGAAGGTGGTGAGCGACTAGTCCCTGAGGATCGATACACGGTCCATTTCCTAGGGACAAAGCCATGGTTATGTTATAGAGATTATGATTGTAATTGGGATAGAGACGATTATCACGTGTTTGCTAGTGATCATGCACATGCAAAGTGGTGGCAAGTGTACGATTCATTGCCAAAGAAGTTGCAAAAATATTGTAGGATGACAAGGAAACAAGATAAAGGTGTTCGCAATAGAAAATCAAGGGCTCGAAAGGCTAAACTTTCTGATGGGCATTGGAAGATTGAGCTTAAGGATCCTAGACAATATAATTTAGTGGGCTAAAAAGCAACATCATAGTTTTATTATTAGTTAGTTTTAGTTTATTATTCATTTATATTTAGATTTTTACTATTTTTTCTCCCTTCATAAACAATTCATATAAACCTTGAATTGTTAGCCAAACAAGAAATATGGTGGGTTGGGGGACGAATGGAATGATTTTTTCACACATTCATGAGAGCACACATCGAAACTACAGTATTATTAGACGAGAGGCACAAAAAGACATTTATTTAAAGAGTATATACTTCGTGTGTGTGTGTGTATATATATATATATATATATATATATATATATATATATATATATATATAATATATATATATATATATATATATATATATATATATATATATATATATATATATATATATATATATATATATATCGATTGAGGATTGGAAGGAATTGGAAATTTTTAATCTTTTAAAATGCTATGATATTAGATAAGATGAAATCTTGTACTATGTACAATATTCTCAAGATTACTTGTGAATAACATATATATGGCCATATGTTTCAAAACTTCTCAATAGGTAACACAAATGTGCTTATTATAACTCACTAAGTTATAGTGTATGAACATACAACGATTACATACACATAATATTTCTCAATAAACATACAATGAATACCATCGATATTAACAAATTAAATTACATTCATAATATTATTGAATTAACTAGTGGGTAAGTACCCTTAATCAACGCAATAATATCTTTGTTTACAACATATATGCACGAAGTACGTGCAACTATATATGCATGCAGATTCACCCTATAACAAACTAACTTAATTAGTTTAGACCTTATAAATTACATTTGTACATACACACCAAACTTTTATTTCACTTTGAAAAAAATCTCCAAAGACTACACACTTCACATACACTTGACTAAATTAGGTAGCTAACTAATCCCTAACTAATACAAAAGACAACAATGAATACATGCATGTAAGCCATAGTTTCTTAGAATATGGGTGCTTATACAAAGTCTGTTGGCTTACAACTACCTTCTTCCATTTGCAACACTTCATCAAGTCGACGACTTGTAACATATCATCTTGTCTTATTGATCTTCATCTCCTTCCCTTTACTCCTCCTAAATGTGTTCCTCCCCCATCCTCAACTCATTGATGTCATCTTTCTTCAGACACAGTCTATAACCTCCTCCTTTCCCTCTCCAAGCAAGGTTAAACCACCAAAATGGCTCGAGGTCATTCATAGAACTCATTTGAATGCTAAGGAGCCATTAAGAGTTGGTTTGATCAACTTCGAGGATTCAGAGCAATCTCACCTGCAACTAGGTGGGATTGCAGAGTCTGTAACCATAAATTTTGAGTCTGTCTCTCCTAATGTCACTTGGAAGAAGATCTTTCCAGGGTGGATTAATGAGATGAACCCTAAAGGAAGGTGTCCAGAAGCTATCCCCATGCCAGAGACTGGGAAGTATCTAGAGTTAGATGTGGTGGTGGCATGTTTACCTTGTAGAAATGACCTACTGAACAAGGGAAAACTTAGTCATTGGGAAGAGGGGATTAGAGATGTTCATAGGTTGCAAATTAGCCTAGCTAGTGCTCAAGTGATAGTTGATCAAAATCATGGAGTTAACAAAGACAATAATGATGTTTATGCAGTGTTTGTTACAAAATGTGAACCGATGGTAGAGATATATAGGTGTGATGATTTAATATGGCATAGAGGGGAGTATTGGGTATACAAGCCTAAGGTTGAGAAGTTGAAAGAGGTGATTAGCATGCCTATAGGAAGTTGTGCCCTTGCTCGTCCTTATGCTAGGGCTCAAGGTAATTAAGATGTTTAATTATTCCATTAATTGTGTATTTTGTTGTGTTTGGTGTGATCTTATTTTGGTTTTGGTGGAATGCTACTATGCTAGGTTTCATTTTGGTATAACAAACTTATGAACTTGTTTTTGATTAGATTTTGGACAATAGTGATTTAAATGGAATTTTATTATGAAAAATCAGGCTTCATTTATAAATCATGATGATTTGCCTAGCTACATACTAACAATATATATTTCATTTATTGATTTTTACGTGGTCATTCCATCGTGGATGATAATAGTACTGTGCCACCCTAAATAATTTTGGGTACAGTGTAGATAAGATGTAGTTAAGCAAGCATCACAATTACCAAGTATACTCAAAACTATCTAGAATAAATCAAAATTTAGCTAGCTAGAATAAATTTGTGTTTTGATATACTACTACATGACATAGGTTTGCAAAACATTGATCAATTGTCAAAAGAGCTACAAATGACGAGTTCACCAAGTACCAACAAGCCAAGACATGCCTATGTAACGGTTCTTCACTCGTCCGAATTTTATGTATGTGGAGCCATAGCTTTAGCACAAAGCATCCTTCAAACTAACACCACCAAAGACCTAGTCCTCCTTGCGGACCACACCATCTCTAAGCATTCCATACAAGGCCTCCAAGCTGCGGGTTGGAAGGTAAGGCAAATTGATCGTATAAGGAGTCCTAACTCCAAGGTTGATTCCTACAATGAGTGGAACTATAGCAAGCTTAGGGTGTGGCAATTGACCGAGTATGACAAGGTTATGTTCATTGACTCTGATTTCATTGTGCTTCATAACATTGATCGTTTCTTTGACTACCCTCAGCTTTCAGCTGCACCTAATAATAAATGGCTATTTAACTCGGGGATCATGCTCCTAGAGCCATCCAAGTGCTTTTTTGACTATCTTATGAGCAAACGTTACACTTTAAAGTCTTACAATGGTGGAGACCAAGGGTATTTAAATGAGATCATAACTTGGTGGCATAGGCTAACAGTGAAATTGAATTTCATGAAATATTTTCCTAAGGAATTTGGTGATGAGTCGAGATTCATTCCTAAGGATCAACACACCATCCATTTCTTAGGGATGAAGCCATGGTCGTGTTATAGAGATTATGATTGTAATTGGCATAGAGAGGAATATCACAATTTTGCAAGTGATGAGGTGAATGCGAGGTGGTGGCAAGTGTATGATGAAATGCCAAAAGAGTTACAATACTATTGTGGGATGACCGAAGAAGCTGATGCAAAACTCCGCGAATTCAAAGCCCTTGCCAAACAGGAAAAGCTCAAAGATGAGCATTGGAGGATTGAAATTAAGGATCCTAGGCAGTACAATTTGATAAATTATGTTTAAATGTAAATTTTAAGATGGGCAATAGTCCTACTTTACAAAGAGGCATGAATATTAATTCCAACCATTAAATTATGGATAATACATAATAAATACTTTATAATATACTTGTATATGAGCACTTTTTATAACTAAAAATCATAGATATCCAATTTTATATATATATTTTTTTATTATTATTTTTTTAGCCGAGGGACAATATAAAGTTCCTCCATCTTATGTTACTTTACCTGTTATATTTATCACATTTGGTAATGCATAATATTAACTTTAACTATGTTTATATTTTTCATGAAGTATAAATCAAAAAAGACGATCCAACATAAAGTGTTAGAATTATTTCATTAAGCACGGAGTAGAAATGAATGAAGTATTATATAAGCTGAGGGGGCAGTATACATCTCTAGAAAGGAACTAAAGAATCAACACAATATTATCAACTTGGACATTGAGAAAATATCAATAATAGAAACATAAGATAATGTTTCATAAAAACTAAATCATACACTAATTTGCAACTCCAACAGCAGTTTTAGTTGTAGAAAATCTCATTGGCATCATCATCAATGGAGGAGGCCTCTGTTTCACTCCATTCATCATCATCATCCCATCATGACTGCTATTCATTGATATCCTTCTTCCCTTCAATGGAGAAACAAATCGATTCACCAACCTCGAAGGCGATAATGATCTTCTTAGCTTCGATGCCATTGAAGAAGCCGGTTTCGGAGGCGATTTCCTGCCAAAAGATGCAGGCTTTGAAACAGGGGAAACAGAGGCGAAACCCTTTTGTGGACTTTTGATTTTCACAGGGGATTTAACCAAAAATTTATGAGGAGTTTCTCTCTTTTTCGCAATTATTGGAGATTTATTCTTGCTAATTTGCTGCTTTTGTGAAGTGGGTGATGATGAATGAAACAGGGGATTTGGGAAAAGAACAGTTTTTTTAGCCCAAGGTTTATGTTTTGGTGATACCCTGTTTGCCACATTATATCTCATGCTACTCTGTTTTGGTGATACCCTGTTTCCTCTATCGATTTCGGGTCTTTTCTCCGGTGAAACCCTGAAATTGATCCTCGATCGAGCTCTTCGAACAGACGGGGTGCTCGATTCTCCTCGAATGATACGGAATTGATGCTGTTTTTCTCTTTTCCTTCGAGTTTCGAGGGGTGTCTTTTCGGGGTTCGGTCTTTGTTTCCGAGGCACAGGTGTTTTTGGATCATCAATGTTGGAATTCCTCATGATTTCTCTTGTTACTTTACTTGATTCTAGGATTTCTGCTACTGTTTCTCCTACTAACATTGCTGATAACGACATTCTTTTCCATTCCCCTATAATTAATTTCATCAAATATGTCAAAATTTATCATCAAATTTAATCAAAGAAAATCAACAAATTAAGTGATGATGCTAGTATTTTACCTGAAACATTTGCTTGTAATTTCCCAGTTGGAGATTTCTTTGATCCATTATTTCTAATTCTGCAAAAATCACAAAAACCCTAATTAAATTACATATAATGATGTACAAATCCCACCAAATTTACCCCTAATTTAATAAATTTTCGTATAATTTAGAACCCTAAACAATATTTTACAACGGCTCCAAACCCAAATTTCAAAAGCAAATAATTAACTGTGAAGCGCTAATAGTATAATTTGAACTCGTAACGTGACAACTAAATCCGAACAAATGCGAAAAAAGCGCGATTTACCTCATCGATTCCTGCTTGCATCTGAGACTAGTTTTTAAGTAAGCTTTAGTACTACGAGGGCTAAGTTTAACACCAGCAACCACTTTACTTCCTCCAGTAACTGTATATTGAAGCTCTTGCAATCTTTCCATACATTGATCCACCTATCCAAATCAAACACCAAAAAATAATTGATAAATGAAGAAATAATTAACCAAATAAAGAGAAAATTAAAATCAAAACAACCCACAAAATAAAAATTGGTGGGTATTAAAAATCAAATCAAAAAAATTAATTTTTGAACAAAAAAAAAATTGTACCTTTTTAACAGTTTCTCTGATAAGAGTAGGGCTTAATGGAGGAGCCACCATTATCTTCCTCTGTTTTGGTGGGGTTCTTGCCACCATTTTTATTTCTCAAATAAAAGAAAAAAAAAAAATCTTTTTAAAATTCAAATATTAAAAAAAAAAAAAGTTGGTTTTTCAAGAAATAGGTTTATCTCTCTAGAAATTAAAGTTGGAAAAGTCAAATTGAAGCTACAAAAATGAGCTCATGAAGAGGGAGAAAGTTGAAAGAAATTGGGGGGTTTTGGTTGAAGAAGAGTAACGGCTTCTTTTTCTTTTGGTTCCAACGGTCGAATTTATTTTTGGGTATTTTTAAATTAGATTTATTTTTGAGTCCAAAAACCTTTTTTTTTCAACTTAATCAATCTGTATTTATTCAATTGTATATTGATTAATCTTAAATCTTAAATAGTGAAATTCGAAAAAGACTGGATGTATATTTCGTAAATAAAAGGAATATGAACACCACCAATAATATTATGTCAACTCAGCAGATCCCACTAAATTGAAGAGGGAAGCTAAAATACAGGGTGAGAAAGCCAGAGCAAAAATTTTGGTTAGGGACAGAGGGAGGGTTTGAGAGGGATATTTGGTGAGCGTCATCTTCAACACTAAGTTTAGATGAGCAACAACTTTAATGTGCATCGCCTTCTACTCCAAATATGTTCAACCAATTAAAGTAGAGAGAAGAAGTTTTACATAGAACACAAGTTTGATTGAATGTTACAGACATAAAATAGCATCATATTAACCAATGCACCAAGAACACATCTAGTTTATCAAAACAACATAATAATACCATAAACTACACAAGCAAATAATGGGGACATGCACATCATTAAAAACGTATGAGAAAACAATGGGCAATCAACGATTTTGTTTTAATTGACCCAATATTTTTTATTTAGGTTGGAGAACCATGTATTGTGAATTTAGTGTATTGGAAGTACGTTCCGCCTTCAATTATTCTAGTATTCCAATAACAGATGTTCAAATACAATGTTTGAGGAGTAATTTTGCAATCAATTTTTGGTAACCATTAGTTCTTGGAAAATTTTCATTATTATGAAGTATTGTTATTATTTTATCACAATTGAAAGGAAAATTTTCATGAATTCAACATAGCCTAAAAAAATGACATGAATGAATTTCTTTAGCATATAAAACTGTACTAAACATTTCTGAACTTAACATCACATATTGTAGGACAGGAAAATTAATCAAAACATCACACTGATGTTACAAGAAAAGTATAAAAATACTATGCATATTTGAGCTTAAAATCTCTATTCATTAGTTTTCATCTAAGTACAGCCTACTGATTTGGAAGACCCAAGGATATATGTAGGTGACGGAATTGCAGTTAACAAAGAGAAATAAATGCATATTTTCACATCATACTAAAGACTTCCGGAAGTTTTTCAAGCCTCGCAACTTCAAAGGACTCCAAACAACTGGCTTTTTCTGCAGGGCAACCACGGTAGGGTGCTTCGGCCGCCACGAACCCTGTTGAGGAGGGCTTGCCATAAATCTCCTACTACTCATAGGTGTTGCTGCTTCCACAGAGGGCAGAGGAGAAAACGGCTTTGAAAATCGCCTTACCCTTGATGCCTCCCTGAAAAATGAGGGCCCTGGTAATGCACTCTCGCGTTTTGACTTACTGAGAGGTGTTTGATGGTAATTTGACTCAGGACGGAGTGTTGCCATGGAGACCCTTCTTCTGGGCTGCATAGGTGCCATTGTTTCGGTTGATGGTCTCACAGCGACGGAGATCCTTCGTGGCCCCCTCATGGCTCTTGTATTTGATCCATTCGAAGTGTTTTCTTTACCATCGTATGAACTTGAGAAACGAGAAGAGAAAGTAGAAGTCTTCTTTGCCTGGACAGGTGATGGTTGGGGCATGTAATTGCATATCTTTCGCAATGGCATCCTTGAATTTGAAGGACCTAGTGGAGGCTTCCTCTCTGTTGTGGTCTTTTGTGCCTGTCTTGGTTGCCTGATAGAAGCAGCAGCTCTATTTTCCTGCTTCTGTCTAGTTTTCCTCTCCTCCGCCAGTTGATTTTCAAGATCCCGCACCTGTTGAGATATTTTTCTTAAGAAAAATGCTTGGTGTGGAATACATATCACGCATATCAATGGTATATGAAAGTACCTTCTCCTGAAGACTTCTGCAGATATGCTCTCTGGCAGAAAGCCTTAATTGCAAAGATTGCACACTATCCTGCAGTTTCTTTGTTTCTTTATCATCATGCTTTAACTTCTCAGCCTGTAAAAAATGACTACAGGCATAAGCTGCATGCAAGACTGAACATCAATATCAAGCTAAATAACTCCCCAAAAACATACCAGATGCTTATACTTGAGGAGCTCAGAGATATCTGCTTGCTTGCGGGCTGGACCATATTCAATTCCCTTGACTCGACTAGCAAAGTTCAGGGAGCATAGAGTCTCACCCACGTCAGCATCACTAGGACTAATTTGGACGAACATCAGGGTCTTGCAATCACCTCCTGCAATGCCATTGAATGATAGAGATGGGTAAGATGAGAAAAGTAAACCATGGCTCTTTTTTTTTTATTGAAACAGTCATAACTCAGTTCAATAAGGCTTCATGAAGTATATTACCTAAAGAGCTCTGCAACATGTGGGTGAGTTTTGAGTTTCTGAAAGATAACAACAATTAAGTTAAGACAATGAAGTTCAAAAACATGCTGAATGTCTTGAAAAATCTGCATATAGAAAGAAACATGTACTCGACCTGTATGGAACGTGGTTTGTTTTAGTTGCAAGAGCAGAGATGACATCACCAAGAGCTGAGAGGGATTTATTGATGAACTGAGATTCCTTCAGTCTTTCACCCTCAACTTCAATTCTTCCAACACGCTCACTTCCAGCCAAGTCCACCAACCAAAGGTTGCTCTTTGTCCTTTGTCCATTCATTAAGTTTTCCCCTTTCACAGTAATCCGCAGCAAGCTACAAGCATGGCAAAATTATTTAATTCCACAGAATGGCTGCTCCAATATTTCTACCATCATTGCATTATTTAATGTAGTTGCAGGAGTCCATTATATAACATTCAGAGTGTAAAGACAGACATATGCAACATTGCAGACAATAACAGGGTAGCATTCAATTATATCAGAGAAAAATTACCAATGGGAACGGCTACTGAATTCATTAGCATTGGTTGATCCAACAGATCTCACTCGGCTCCCAGTCTTAAGTAATTCCCATACTTCATCTGTACCATAAACATGAGCTTCAACTAGCCCAGGAATTTCTTGTGTTCCTTCTGGAGCTTGTTTTATTTCCAACCTGAATAAACAAAATGCAACACTTAGACATTATAAACCCTATACAAGTGAGCCTTCCATACTAAGACATTTGCATGAACCAAAATTAACAGCTTCCATTTAACAGCTGATTTAACAAAGGTATAGAAAGGCTAAAATGCAAGGATGAACGTTTAAGATGTTATGAACTGATCATAGTCACAGTCAGAACTCAAGGTAACAAAAAGTCAACAACTGCCTAGCCAATCTTTAGATAAATAGATACTCTATTAAATTTCTGTAGTTCTTTAAGAAAATTCTGCACAAGTAGTGGTGAAGCCTTTATCGATCGCTTAAGCATGTAAGACCAAAGGCCAAAGGAGAAAAGTGACAGATGTGACAATTCCAGAATTAAGCATGAACACCTTCTAAGGATATATGGAATTTAGCTTTGATTATTGTAAGCCACCCCTAAAATCAATTGGTGCTGACAATCTTAGAATCAGTAGCTAGATTCCCACATGAATGTTTATGCATATTTAAGCATCAGTCATGCCTACAAATTTATGTAATCAAGCAGTATTCGACATTCTGTTTTAAGAATCACTTACTTCTTAGGTGGTTCACTGGTATTCTCCACCAAGAGGTCCCTTATTTTTTCATTGTAGACCTCCAACATGCTGACAAATAGTTCATATTTCACAGTACCGCTTCTTTGATTAGCAATCCTAAATAACTCCTCCAAAGTTCTATAGTTAACCCCTCGATTCTCTGGTGTCCCTTCCATGGTAAAGGTCTTTCCAGTTCCAGTTTGTCCATATGCAAATATGCAAACATTGTAGCCATCCAAAACAGAAGTGACAATTGGAGAAGTTTGTGCAAAGACCTCCTCTGCAAAGTCAAAAATCAATGTCAATGAAACACCAAAGAAGTGTAATTGCGCTACCTGAAGCTAAATTCACTATTCAAAAGGCAATCAAAGCAATCAGGTACCTTGGTCAGCTTGGGGCCCAAATACATGGTCAAACTTGAATTGTTTCTTTGAAGAATCAGCACAAGTAATATTCAATTCATGGTCCTGGGAAGGAGGAATTTCGACAACAGAAGTCGACCCACTTGCCCTTTCATCTTGGTTCAATGGTCTGCATCTACAAAAGACCCTAATATTGCCTTTCAGCTCAATTACTTCATTGTACAGCCTCTTCCTTTCAGCATATTCTTCAATGTACTTTTTCTTTAAAAGCTCAGATTCTTCCATGTACTTGTTCTTCAAAACCTCATGCTCCTCACCTAATAACAACAGTTCATACCCATTTAAAACCTGACCAGCAAAAACAACAACAACAACAACATAATTGACAAACTGAAGAATGAGATAAAAGGGCAACATACTTAGGTGCTGAAGTGTATTCAGAACTTCAAAGCCGGGAAATTGACTGCTCGTTATCTCCTTTACTTCGACTGATAGAGATGTATGCTCCTTCCTCAAAGTCTATACCAATCACACAATAAGGTTTCCATCTTAAGCAAGATTGACAACCACAGACACAGCAAAATAATTTATATTGAAGTTCACCTGAATTTTGTTACTCAGCTCATTGATTTTCTTTAGTATTGGAAGCTTAGGCTCTTCATCAACTGAAACTGCTTGGGATTCATTCGAATATTGACTTGCATCAGTAGAATTCGTATTTTCCTCCACTCTATCTGAAAGTTCAAAATATCTTTCTACACTCAGTGCTATAATACATAATTCTGAACAATTAACAAATTTTCAAGCAAATTTATGAAACCAACAAATTTAACTTTATGAAACCAACAAATTTAACAACAAATCAACAATTTCTTAAATTATTCTTAATTGATTTCATAAATAACCCAACAATAGAGAATTTTTCAATTCCGGTGAAATGAGATGCCCTAATTAAAACCCTAATATCAAATGTTTCAAAAACGAAGAAGATAACAAGTGCAATCCAAGAATCAAACATCATCACATCCAATACTCTAATTGATCAAGAAATCAAGAAACCCAATTTTCATCTACTAACAAACACTCGCTAAGTTCAAGAATTTCACGGAAAACCTAGGGTTTTAATCGATTAACAAAATTGAAATCAACAACCACAACAAAAACAACTAACAACAAAAATACTACAAAAAATCATACAAAAGAAGACTAAAATCAAAACATAATCAACAGAATCTTGAATTGTTACCGTTTTGAGCATGTGGTGTTGCATTTGCTGACTCAATAAATGAGTTTGCGTCGCCAATTTCTCGAACGATTTCTACAGTTTGATCTGCATATAAAATGAAATAAAGTGAAATTCGAATTATTTTAGGGGAAAAAAGGGGAGAAAATCCGACGAAATTGAAAATTAAGAAAGATGAATTGATTGAATTCTACTCACCATCCATTTTTTCAACAAATTAATTACGCTGAAAACAAGTAATTTGAAGGATTCTGAAAATGAAAATTAGGGATTTGAGGAGAATATGAGAGAGAAAGTGAGATTGAAAGTTAGATTTTAGAGTGAGAAAGAGAAGGTGTGATATTTTTTTGAGAAAGAAAGGAAGAAGATAGCGAAATCTCAAACGGTCAGAAAAGTTGTAAATTTGAAGGAGGGAGTTCAATGTTTTGAAAAAGAGAATGAATTGTAGCCGTTCGATTACATTTAACTTGATTATAACGGCTACTTTTATGATTCTGGAGCGTCTGGTTTCTCTTTGGGTTGGGCTTATGACGATACTAGACCCGGTTGTGGAAATAGGTTTTGGACCTTTTTTTTTAAGGTAAGAAAAATAATCATTACAATGTCATTTAGTCTTCCGTGTTCACGAAAAGATTTCTATTGTACGGAGTATTAGAAGAAAAATATACGAAGTACTTTCATGAATTCATGAGAGAAATTTCTAAATTGTATTGCATACCCCGTGTTATAAATAATTACTCCGTATATGGTTTCGGACAAATTTTAATTTTTACTTTAATCTTTTCAAAAGAATTATGGTGTCTCAGTACAATACAAGCTATTTATTAATAACATTTTATGTTTATATAGTCTTATAAATGACTTACTAATTGTCTGGTGATATTAAAATGAAAGTTAGGACCATACAGTAATTTCTCCGCGATGGACATATAAAAAATATGAATGGAAAAAAGAAGTAAAGTGTGAGATTTTTGAGCTAATATTTGACTGACTGCGAGTGCTTCGTCATAACTCATAAGGCTTTGTTGTGATTTACGGAACTAAACTGATTGAAGCTGAACTGAACTGAACTGAACTAAATAGAGCTGAAATAATTGCTTAAGGAAGGAAATTTAGAACTGGACTAAATTGAACTGAATTAATTGGAGTTGAACTGAATTCAACTTAAATGAAATTAAGCTGAAAGAACATGCCCTTAGTTGGGAAATGTTTCGATCTGAGACAATGACCCTGTAACACCCCAATAATTCTCTCTTTAAACCTGTAAATACCCTGAACAAAATCCAAGAGAATTGCTGGTGTGCTACCGCCACGTGTTCAAACGTTAAGGCTATATCAGAAATTAGTAGCGGAAAAACTAATCCAGTTATAAATAAGTTTCAAAACCAATAAACAAAACCAAATTAAGTCATACAACTTGGAACCATTAAGACCCTTATTCAAAACCCCACAAAGTAGTAAATAAACAAAACCAGAGTTTAAATAAATTCAAACTTATGAAAAGAAATAAACTGCGAATAATAACCAACTCTCTACTCAAAATCCCACAACCCTGATGCGAATGCTGCGTATGTAAGAACCTGTGGTTAATCTGCTCCCCAATATTACAAGTGTGAAAATTGGATCATCACAGGGTCATTGAAAGGCGAAGGCCATGACCAAAGAAGACACACACAAAAGCACGCAATCAGCAAAACTGAGTACATACAAGCTGCAAAACATAAAAGAAATCCCTAACACACTACTAATAGTCAATCATCACGCATCATTAGTTTATAGACTCGACACATGACTCAACTATCAAATTTATTAAGACTTCACTAGTTAATATTAACTAACTCATTTATTTATTTCATTGGATTTAGCAATAGACAAGGTTGTCCAACCCATGTCCCATTTGGAACATCAATAAAAGAAAAACCTCATGCCTCCTTTCGGAAACATCAATAAACATCCAACGACCACGGGCGCGACTCCGTGACCGTAGTTAGTATGAGATCTCACCTAACTCCTAGTTTTAAAAAAATAATATTTGAAATAGGAGACTCGTAGATCAGACGACCTCGATAAAAGTACACGGCTAATACCCCATGTACCCCAACCCCTGATTGTCATTACTCCAGATGTGCACCAATCCAGAGTTTTATTGCTCATCCATCTTGCACTTTACGTGATTTACAAATTTAGACTTAGTGATGACTCATATGCATAACAATACAAACATTCCAAACACAATTCAATCAAACAAGGCAAGTTTCCAATTTCAATTCTTGATTTATTAGTGACAAACAACATTTATTATTTATCCCTTTACTACCTCGGTGTATAAACACCTTGAGTGCATAAGGCACCCCAAAACCTTAACCTCGTCTTATAAGACTTAAATTCTTCCTTTACTCATCCTGCTTGCATAATCATGAATGAGTAATAAATTAATCTTTACACCAATCACATACTTTTGCCTCTAAGTGCACCTTGCATAATTAGAGCACAAATAATACTTGCAATATAAAATAGTGCACATCATATGAAATTCACAATGTATAACCAAACAATTTAACCAGTCATCCCTATACATGATACTAAGTTTTCGATCCGTCCTTAAACATGCACCTAAGCGCAAGGTTTCGTAACTTGTACGTACCTTGAATAAACAAGTTGGTAAAACGCTTTTCCAACTAAAAACACCTTCTATGAGGTCCTCTCCTAAACCAAACAACAAAACCTCAATCAATGCCCAAACAACCAAATTTACAGCAATACTAACTTACTTTAAAACCTTCAAAATCCAAATCAAACAACGCTTTAAAATCTTTCCTTTAGTTAAAATTAAAGGCTTATATATAGTTCTTTAAATTTTCTTCATAAAAACCTAAATACACTCTTATACATGAAATTACAGCAAGTTTAAAGTTTAATAAAAATCTGAAAATTATTTAAAAACCCCTAATAATCTCCCCTTTTAATGGGTGATTACACCCTCTTTATAAAACATCAAAAGTAATACTTAGAAACTATTTCCAGCACTTAAAACTTCAATAAAACATATATTTATGCTTAATTAACTTCAAATATAATTAATTTTATTAATCAATATTTTAAGTATAATAAAACTTCGTTAAAGTCAAAAACTGCTTGAAAATCATATTTAGAGGCTTAATTTGGCCACGAGAGGGTGGTGCTCACTACCAAAGTTAGTGAGTCTTTTTTAAAACGTTGTTTTCACATGGAAAACACTATTTTTTTCATCCAAATAAGATGAGTTCAGAATCTGATCGGGATTAAAACGACATTAATATAACGAACGAAAATCTATAAATCAAAACACGAATTTACGTGTTCAAAATAATCTAGAATTAATTTAAACTAATCAGTAGTTATAATCACCAAAATTTCAAAACATCATTACTATAAAAACCCTAAATCAATTGTTCATAAAAACCCTAAAATCATGATTTTCAATAATTTGAAACCCTAGGTTTATAATTCATAAAATATGAAAATTTATAACATAAATATAATCTGAAATTTATAATCTTTATACCATCAAAATATAATTTGATACTAAAAATATAATCTTTATACTAAAATCAAAACCTAAAACAATTAAATTAACATTAAACAAAATAATGAAACAAAGGAGCATGGAAATAAGACTAAACTTTTAGTGTGGGAAATTTTTGGAGATTCATGGGGTATTTATAGGAGAGAATTATTATAGGGTAAAAAGGACGATTGGGCCTCATAAAAATTATGGGTCAATTAAGTAAACAAATGGGTTAGGCTTGTTTGATTGGACATAAATTGTAGAATAAAGGTGTATAAAATAATTTGTTCAAATAATTTTCGACCCAGATTAATAATTTGACACTTTTGGAATTAAATTTCGGAAAATAACAAATAAATATTATAAATAAAATAAAATTTCATTTATAAAATATTTTTAAAATACGGGGGATTATAGGACCTGTATTAAATGAATAAAAAAAAATTATAAAAGCAACGACACATTCATCCTCAATATTGAAACTATTAGTATGTGTTCAAATTTACAAAAGCTCCAAATTAGTAAATTACCCTAAAAAAGAAGTAATCGATTAAACTATAAACATCTTGTTCAAACTATACTTAAATATCAACTCTATTAAATCTGACTCTAGAAATAAACAAGTCATACTGATCACAATTAATACTAGTGAAAGCTAGGCACAGGTCGAGCCATGCAAGTCCACGTGTCATACTAGCGTGCTTCGTAATGTAAAAAGTGATGTTAGAAAATGACTAAGAAAAAGAAAGTGTTATTCCAAGCTTGTATCAAATATTGAAAATAGACTTCATACATGGGGTGCACGGCAACACAGCACATGACCCACAAGTGTGTCTCCCGTGCCATTTCAAGCTTGTGGTAAGCTCGCACCAAGTCGGGCCATTTTCAAGCCAACGCGGCTCATGCACAACTCTAATCCTGGCACATCTAGTAAAAAAAAACAATTAAAAACGGACATCACCTTTATGAATGATATTTTCTGGTAATGTAGTTAGGATAAGCAGAATCTGACAGAACCAAATCAATGGCCAGTTCTTCACAACCAAGCTTGTTGAGCTACCACCATACTTGCTCCTCTTCTTCCTCAAATTCCAACTTCACTCGATTTCCCTCTTCATTTTCTCTCTCCTCTCTCAATGGATCCACCAGAACTCAATTTCCCAGAAATCTTTCACTCTCTTTAACTAAAATTCATGCTAAATTTGACAAATTTGAGGGTAGTGAAGATAACCCAGTACAGTTGCAGGAAGAGGAAGTCCAAGAAATTGAAGAATTCCCTGATCAAGAAATAAAAGAAGAAGATGATGAGTGAGATTCTATTTATACTGATTTTCAGATTGTTTGTTTTGTTGTAATTGGAAATTTTGATCTTGTAAAAAAAGTTGGAAAAATTTAATTGTTTTGGGTGTGTGAAATAGGGGCAAATTGGGTGTGATGTGAAAAAAATTGAACGCTATTAAAGATATTAATCATCAAAGTTATGTCTTCGAGAAAAATTTAATAGGTTAAAATCAAAGTAACAATGGTTGTAGTTCGCTTTACTTTGATAAAAATTGCATCTTGACCTTTTCATTGAGACATTGAAATGATCAAAATTTATTTTTACAAGTTAATTTTATTTTTCTATTGGTCTAATTTTCATGCTTGAAAGTTGAGGGATTATATTTTGGAGTTTCATGTCTGAATTTAAATTAAGCACTTGATTAATGCTGTACTTTGTGATTATCAAGTTAGATTGGATAGGTAGATGTCATGCCAATATGTTCGGTACATGATTGTTTGATAACTTGTATAAGTATAATCCTCGGCCTAATTGGCATATTTTTCTGTTCACATAGCTGAAGTGTATTGATGGCCATGTAATTAAAATTATTTGACAGTTGCCTGCCTTCTGACTTGGAGGGTGCAGTTCGACAATCCGGTCAAGCTAGTGCTTCGTTCGTGGATTCTGGTGGAACAAGGGCCATTGTAGGTGCTTCAGTATTAGAAAAGAGTTGTTGCCTTTTCAATTAGTTATAGTTCTTGATTAAATTTCCTGATGTTCCCTTTTTTAAAATTAGTTCAGGAGGGGATAAAAAAATTGTTGAGGGTGCTTTGGGAAATCATGTCATATGCGTAATCATAGGAAATCAAGAATGTGACAATTTATTTCTGTACAATAGAGTAATTAAAAACTAAATAGTCTGAATGTCCTGCAACAAAAAAGGTCCTCCCTCTTTCAGATAGTTCAGATCCAACTCCTATTAGTCCTATTTACAAAAACGAGTGGATTAGTAAAGAAAGAACGATTATATTCTGAATATCAAGAGCTAAGAGCTTACATGTACTGGTAATTAGTAGATCATCAGTTCCATCCATTGTTTCATCTTATACTTAGTTAATCTAATTATTGAAACTGAAAATAAGAACTGGCTTTGTATTTGGATTGAGTGTGTAATTTTCTGGTAGTCTGATGCTTTTCCTGCATTTCCTTTTTGCCTTTGGCAGGTTGAGTTGTTAATACCTCAGCTGCAATTTTTGGATGATGAAGGCGCACAAGCTGAGCTATGGGAACTATCAAGGGTTTTCATAGATACGCTTATTGAGGAAACAGGATGTCAGGTTAGTTTTTAGTATTAATCTATAGCTATCCAAAGCATAGAATAAGAATAATTATGCAAAATAAATTGTTCAGTGCCTCAGTGGCATACTGAAATCTTGCACCTTGGAGTTGCTTGGCGGTGATCAACTGATTCTTCACCTCTTCTACATAACTAAGTTAAATATTTTGGCTGAACAGAAAGTAAAAGCAATCTTTCCGGATACTGGAGCTGCTGCACTTCTGAAGTATCAATGGAAAGATGCTGTTTTTGGATTCTCTAGGTATAGCATGTTATATCCAAATTACTGGTATCTGTCTTGTGGTATAGTATTTTTAGTAGTCTATGCTACCCTTTTCATGTTCATATACGTTCATATTTTCTTGCAGCTTAAGTGATAGGAAGCCTGTAGAAGATGAAGATGAAATTGTTGTTATGGTGGTTCCTGATTATCAGATGTTGGAATATGTCCAGAAAATTGCTTCACTTCTCTCAGACGATCCGGTATTTACTTGGTTTACATTGTCCTGTGTGAGATATAGTGTTATTTTTTACTTGGTTTGCAATGCTAAGTCCGCCATGCTCTTTTTTTTTCTTCTTTCAAAAAACAGTTACAATACTTGATGTTATGTGTTTGTTTTCTACTTCTATCTGTTATTGATACAAAAGTCATTTTTTCTTTTGGATGTAAAGAAATAAGATCGCATTTATAACAAAAATATTTTACACTGGTATTTACTGAGAATATACTGGTAATGTCCCCTTTTATTCGTCATCAAAAGCATATACTGTGACTTCAATGAATGCACTGTATTCTGGAAATACAGGAGTCAGCATATCAGAATTACATTTCCAGCCTTTAACATTGGTTAAGTGTCTTGCTGGACTTGATTGAAAAGGGCTGCAGTCTGGACGCTCAACTTTGAATTACTTGCATAATAAAATGAAAGGGAAATGGGTAGTTTGATGATAGTTGCAGTCAATAAGATAGAGCTAAGAGCTAGAAAGGAAAATTTTAACTGTTGTTTTCGAATTTCAGAGTATGATACATTGTTCTATATTGGTTTTCCACTCATACCTGTATTTGTCTTATGAAATTCCTCATAAATCTGTTAGCCAAGACCTCTCATCATGTGGAATCCACGTCTTGTCAGTGAAGATGTGGGAGTTGGATTCAATGTTCGGAAGTTAAGACGCTACTTTCTGAGGTAAATTTACTTTTCTTCTCTGTCATCCTCAAATTTTTAGCTCATTTGACCAACACTACCAACCATACATAAAGATCAATCAAAATCACAGCTGTTGTATCAGATTGAATCTTACAATCGCTTGTGCTTCACACACTTGTCCTCCAGTTTATATAGAACTTGTTTGATGAATGTACTCTTGGTCACTCTGGTTCAACCTTATTTGCAAGTATCAAGTAATATCTGGTATATGATGCAGAACATTCTCTGTGGTTTATTCGATGAGACCTTTCCCATCTGGTGCAGTGTTCAGGTGTTATCCTGGGTAAGTATACGCTACCATTGTTGTATACTAGTTTTCTTTGTTACAGATTTACTCATTTTCTGCTAATTGTTTTTTTAAAAACAGATTATGGAAGGTATTCTATGATGATAAGAATAGACCAGGCAGGTATCTGCTTGCAAAAGAACTAATCAGTCGTCCTGATGCTGAAGAACTAGAGGTCAGTTTCTGCACATCACACTGTCTATAGATACCATGAGTCCATGACATATCCTGAACCAGCAGCTTAAAGTTGAGAATGTAATGCAAAAATGATTTGGGAGACTCGAAAATGCAGCTACATTTACAGTTGGGACATTTATAAATAGTATTTTCTGTTGAAGTGTATTCTTTCTCAATAATATCTGTTTGTATCTAATGCAGTATATTTTTGGAGATGCACAAGAAAAAGAAGAAGAGGGACCTTCCTTGTTAGCTAGAGCAGCAGGCATATTCTCCTCAATGAATAGGTTCATGAGAGTCATATCAAAATAACCATCTTGGTTTTAAGGCATGCATCCAGACTCTACTGCATCAACAAAATCCCTTCCAATACCTCAGTAAATCTGTGTATACATGAGAGTTTGACAGAATCTTAGCATAGTTGTTCAAATTTTATCCAAATGAGTTTCATTTGGGAAATTGTCAATGGCATGGACACATCATATCAGCCTTTTTTTTTTTTTATTTTTTTGATATACATGGGCCATGGCTGATGAGTGATGCACTTCACAAGTTCACATGTATAATAAAAGCAATCCCCATGGTAAAAACGAAAGGGCTAACCAAACACAAGAATTGTTATTCGTAAGAGTCTGACATACCTATGTTTCCGATACACACAAGGGTAACTGCTGTAAAGGGTTATATCGATAAAGATGATAAGTTCACAATGACAACTTTGATGTTTTTCATTATTTTAAGGTAAAAAACAGTTCACTAATTACAGTTCTGACGGACATCATAGAATGCAACTGAGGTTTAGAAAGCAGTTCTACTAGAAATGATTTTAAGTTTTTCTACTTACTATACTAGCAGATTATTTATAAATTAATACAGACAATAATACAGACACCCCACTCAAACACACTGCTACACATCTTTCAGTCGAGATAGACCTCACAGAGAACCTTGCACCAGCAATAACCACTTCTGAGAACTAGTTACCTCCATGGACAATTACAAAACAGTAAGGCCGTCATAGTAATTCCAACCATTAAGTTTAATTCGTGGAGTTACTCCTGGAGGAGCCTCAAATGTCATCTTTATTGACATGATCTCACCAGGTACCAAAGAAAAATAGTTGTCAGAATAATGCACAGGAAGTATCCTCGTGTCTTCTGTGCCCTTGCTCTCTTTTTCTGAAGAATGAACTGAAAAATGCAAGAAGAAAGCAACCCCTGCATCAGCTCCATTGATTTCAACAACCCTCGACCTGTTACTTTCCCAGAGAAAACAACTGTTAATCTTCTGGAAAAAACTAGCTTGCAGTTTGTTTTCAGTAGTATCATGCGAGAATTTATGCAAGGCATCATCACTGTCATCGCCGACTTTAAGGCAGAAAATGTTCTTATTCAGCTGATTCTCACGATTTGGCATTTTTGAGGTGTTCTCGACTTTCATCAGTACTTCATAACTGTTATCTTGACTGGAAACTTTTGATGTTATCTTCAGAGGAATATTTTTCGTTCTATATGGTTCAAGCAACTTGTAGTCACCACCAGGTAGATGCAACCAGTAGAAATTCCTTGATAGAATACCATGATCTGACATGTGATATAGCTTGAGGAGAAGGAAGTATACTGGCTTTGGATTTTGTGATTCTGGATACTTCATCTCTGTGATAGTCAATGTCTTTTTAGGAGGTACTGTGAGACTCTCATGTACATTGTAGTATGGGCATGTTCCTTCCAGATCCCATACTGAGGCTTCTACAGCTATATCAGATAGCTCATCTGATGTTGTATTAACTACCTGAAAAGGAACATGCTCAGAGTATGGAATAAATTTCAGCTCAAACAACTGTAAGTCTGTAACAGATTAGACATATACTTCCTCCATTTTATTTACTTGACTTTCCTAATTGGGAAGGTCATATTACTTGGTAAGCTTTTGGTAGTCAAACTCACAAAATTACCCTTATAAATTGCATGTGGGGACAACCATGTGCACCAACTACACTTTCTCTGGCCACTCAAATATTTTGCCAAAGGCTATGGGTCAAGTAAATAAAACAAAGGAAATTGCAGCAGTTACATAGCTCAATTCGAGATAAGGTTGTGAAAGCTTAAATCAGATACCTCTATACAATAGGTTGCAAGATTTAGCTGGACATGGACAGGTTCAGCAGCAGAACGGCATCCGTAGAAACCACCTGTTTGGTTAAGAAGGTGATCATAAAACTGACCCCTCAGACCTGTCCATGGATTTTGGGTTTTCCATATTAGGACACCTGTAAATTTACTCCACATATGGGAAGTCCATCCCTCAAGTAGAGCTCTATATTGTACATAGTTAACAAGTTGAGCCTGCAACAATAAGACATGTCAATCCACAACCTACATTGGTTAAAACTCCATTAAATTATTTTACCAAATAAAGAGAGATGTTAGTTCACCTTCAAGCAAAAATCATCCAGATCATTTGGAGTACCATATTTTAGGATCTGATCATGAACTAACCCTGGTTTAGAATAAGGTATGTATTTATGGTACTCCCAGATTTGGTTTGGAACCTCTTCTACATAACCACTGTCAAGTTTTTTAAATAATGGGATCTGCCAACCTTCTTTTGGCATAGTCGCCCTAATAGTAGCTGCCACTGGCATTCCAACAGACCCAACCTCAGGATTAAAACCATAATTGTAATAGTTGTCCTTAAAGAAGTCTTCAGGATTCTGAATTTCATAAGGACCATCTGTAAAGTTTCCTTGACCATCAGCAAACCCATCCCACATCGACCCTTGAACATAAACTCTAGTACCATCCAAATATTGACTAGGATCAGTATCAGACACCGCGATTTTTTTTCGCATCAAAGTTCCATTGACGTGCTCAAAGTCTGGATGGAGACTAAGGTCATGTTTAAGAGCAGCATTAATGTCATCTGGTGGGACTTGTTCATTTCCACCAACCCACAATGCAAGACTGGCATGATTCCTAAGGAGCTTCACTGTGTCTCTAGCACAAAGCAAAAAAAGATCATGGTCCAAGGGACCATTTGGATTAGATATAGGATCTCCTCGTCCATCAACATCTCCAGTAATCCAGAACTCCTGCCACACCTGCCAAATTAAATTACAGCAGGGATGAATTCACTACAAGTTGCAATTACATCCTCCAATTGCAACATAATTAATTACTGCAAAGACATACTCCATCAGTTTAATTATAATGGTCACACTTGGAATTTGGCACTACTTAGAAACTACTCGCACTTTGACCTTCGTTTATGATATGTCACAATATGTATTTTTGAAATATCAAATTTTTATGAATTTCACATATACATAATCAAAGATATAAATGCTCAAAGTTTTACATCATCAAACATGGAAAGTTAAAAAAAGAATCCTGTCACACTGATGATCACAAATCAAGAATATGGTATATCAATTCTATCCTTGTAAAAGATAAGGTCCCACTGAAAACAGGCACCAAGCAGAACTGAAATTATTTTTGCTGAATTTAAATTATTTTTGCTGAATTTAAACAGGTTCACTTCACCCCTTATTTTTGCAGAATTGAAATTATTTTTGCTGAATTTAAATTATTTTTACTGAGCAGAAAATAATTTTATTAAACTGAAATTATTTTTGCAAAACTAAATTATTTTTACTGCTTTTCTATCATATTTCTTATTTAAAGTTGCTGATTTTTACTGAACTGAAAATATTTTTACTTACGGAATATTTTTTTTAAGGTAAAGCGAACAAGAGCTAAGTCTGGAAACAACTACATAAAACAGAAAAACCTTCAGAGATCCCTACCAAAAAATCAGTGATTCCTTTGGAATATAAGATGATGAGAGACAGTAAAGAACATAAAAAGGGGGAGAGCATGAGGGCAGAAGTGACTTTGTCCAAGCGCTACTCTCTCTTCATGGTTTATATTTTTCTCTCTCTTTCCTTATCCCATGTAAGTAAACTTTTTTTCCAACAAAAAAATTCTAAGATCCTCACAACTTTAAAAATGCTGATGGATTATAATTCCAAATATAATGCAAAACATATCACATGTATTTATGATCCTGTCTTCATAGCACTGCACCCCGATTCAATAAGCCTATCACCTATGATCCACATCATTGAAGAATTCTTTTTTATTATTTACTTCCACTGATTTCTTATACTTGCTACACAATTTTTTGGCATGCTATTTGAGGATATGATTAAAAAAGGTAAATTGAAGACTTTCTTCTTATAAGTGGTAAAATTATTTCAATTAATTTCTGTTTGCTTATTTTTGTGCCAAAATGGTGTGGTGCAAGTAAATTAAAACAAAGGAAGTATTATTAATTTCATCCATGGGAATAACCAACCCATTATAGGTAGCATTCTACATCATACTTCCCCTTTTTATTTTTACTTGCAACACATTCATTACACACTTGCTAATGCATTACTCAATCATTTATATCTCTTATTTTCAACAAGTAAAGATTATTAAAATATTATACAATGAAAGTATAAATTAAGACAAATCTAACAAGAATAGATCATGCTTGATTTTTTTTATTTTTTTTTTCTTAATTATAAATTATCAAAGGTAGTAATAGTAGCATATGTGAATAGTTCTAAAGATAAACGTTGCAGGTAAAAAAAAATAACATAAATGGAGGAAGTATATAATACTGTTAATTGGAAAATTGGAAACTTCCCACTAGTTGTTATTAGTATTATTTTTTAATATGTTTTCAAATTATAATCAAGGATATGTTTTCCAATACCTAGTATGTTTGTAATGACCTAAATATAGGTCCAAATTCTTCTTGTATGGGAATTTCAATGGTATCAATAGCAATAATAGGTTTAATAAAATAATAATGGCTAGCACAGCAACTTAGCAATATATGTCACAATATAATTTTAAACCACATGTTACAAAATATTTTTATGTAGAACAGAAAGTTTTAAATCGTTTACAGAGGCACAACATAACTAAACTGTCAATATCTCATTCCATTGCCCTTTTATAACATTCACATCCAAAACTACATATATCATTTTTCCAGTCTCCGGATATACCAGAAAGTTTTTCCCCAATACAAAAGAACTCAGCATATATTCTACAAATAGACAGTCAAAAGCACACTTATCTTCAAAAGAGACTAATCAAATCATTAGGTGAGGGGATAAAGATACAATAGAAAAATAATCAGATATATAGAAAGATTAAAAACTGAATGCATAAAATCAAGTATATTTCATTTCACAGACCAAACACTCCGAAGGAAAGAACCAGAGCAGAAAGATTAAAGAGAATAACTTACCAACAAACCATAAACATCACAAAAATGATAAAATTCCGGTCTCTCAGCCAGTCCCCCTCCCCAGCAACGCATCATGTTAAAGTTCATATCAGCATGGAACTTTATATCTGTTTGATATCGCTTCTTGGAAAGCCGCAATAAACCATCTGACAAAATCCAATTACCACCACGGATAAAAACAGGTTCTCCATTAACCTTAAACAACCTGTAAACAATAAAGATGTAAGGACGACCGCATGAATTATATGATAATTTAAACATTTACTTGTTTCCATACCTCCCACCAGTAGCACTATCAACATAGCTCTCGATTTTGCGAAATCCAAATAAATGGTGCCACATATCAGATTCTCCAAAACCTTTGACATCCACAGCAATAGTGACATTATATAATGATTGTTTGCCCATACCATTTGGCCACCAGAGATTTGGTTTGTAGAAGAAAATCTGCGCTTTGAATTTAATAGAGGCTTCAGAGCACAGAATAACTTGATAATTAAAAAAAATATATGAGTTTCACTCCATTCACACTACCAAAGTTTCATTCTGAAAAATCTCCTGCAATCCTAATGACATTCATTGACCAGAGGAATGCAAGGACTTGTGTCAAGGTCAAGGAAAAAAGTTAAGTCATTTTGAGTTCCAACAGACGTAGCACAATACTCACTGAGAAGTGAGAACAAACAACTTGAATCGGAACTCAGCCCAAGTAGCACCAATAGAAGCATAATCAATCATCTTCTGGATCTAGCAAATGCAAATTAATCAATCATATTCTAGATCTAGCAAATGCAAAATAAACTAAGTATAGTACCAACTGCCACAAGTGTATATGAGAAGGTCAAAATAAATGTACAAAAATACTGATCCACTCAAGATTTAGATTAAGCTGCTTCCAATGGTCTTGCATTATAAGTAATTTGATAAATAAATACTACTCCAACACGAATAGCTACCAACCAGCAAGGATCCAACAGATCCACATCTGGTATTTGTAAGATGTGAGCAACCCAGCCTTAACCAAGTACAAACAAAGATAAGGCTCTAGAAAGAATATGAAAAGTAAAGAGTATATCCCATGCATTCACCCCCAAAAAAGGTTTTACACAAACTACTAGCAATAAATTCTCTGACTTGTATAAAGTGATGTTTTATACACTTAGCAGTAGTTAACACAACTTTGGATTTGGGAAGTACACCAGAATGATAGCAAGAGATGACCGCTTTGAAACTGAAAGACAAGTACAAACCTCAGGAAATGTATGCTGCACTCGTGCTCCTGGAGGAATTGACAGATGTTGAGTTTGAAGATGCTCCACCAGGCAAATATTATCCTCAACTTCAGTTTCCACTTGGATGCTTAAAGAACATTCTGCAACCCAGCCACTTCTATTTTCCAGCTCTACAGTGGTATGCAAGTACACCCTCTTATAGTCATCAAAGAATGAGGATACCAAATGGGGATCCATGATTTTAACTGGCTGGATCACAAGATATCAACATCATACATTCAACATAATTATTCACAAGATAATAATTATCACAAGAACAAGTGCAATATTACAAATTTAAACATATGAAGTTAATAGAATACATTTGCAGTAAAAACCCAGTGCACTGTCAAAGCTATATTTACTTAATGGTAATGACAGCTAATCCTTGCGATTTAGGCAAACATAAAACAGAATACACATACAATAGATTAAACAATATATTTGGGCCAATCTTACAAATATTAATAAAAAAAAAAAAACCCATTAATTCCATCCATCTTGAAATATGTATTTCCAACTGCTATGAAATTTAGAGACTTGTTTAGGAAAAAAAACATAATGTAACTGGTATAGGGGACAGCTTTTTGAAATTTATACTCACAATCAGAAAATCATGGAGTACAAAGCTTGCTAAACCAATGCTTCCCAAGGTGTGGAAGATAATTATTCATAAGATGAAACCTCAAGATTCTTAAATATTTTGGACGAATACTTACCCCAGTGGTGGAAAGTGAAACCTCATCCCAAATGCCAGTGTTTCGGTCCCTGTTGTCAATTTCAACAGAAAATATATCTGCATAAGAAAACGTCAATCATTTGATTCATAACCTTTTCTGAATATGCAAAATGTATCATGAACACAATGCAAATTAAAATGACTACATAGTATATAGCCAGTGACAGCCAGTGTAAAACTATCACATCGCTGAACATGAACCACAATGATTGATAGTAGTACTAGGATGGGTGACCTCTTGGGGAAATCCTTATATTGGCTCATGTAGTCGACCCCACTTAAGGGATTAAGGCGTTCAAGAAGAAGAAGAAGACTTTGTATATAAGAGTAACATAGCCTTTTTTAGATCACTTATGAGAGTTATGCTAATTAAAACCAAGCAAGCTTTACAGTTACATGAAAAACCTAATTATGATTGGAAAATTAATTGTCATATACTACATTCATTAAATGTAGTAACATATTAGCTGTGCTAACTCTATTCATGAGTCATTCTAGTAAAAAACTTATATGGCACGTAAATTTTGAAAGTATAATTTGAATTGCAATCAAAGCCAGTAGCAGAAGAGAAAAGGTATAACCTAATACTACCTCCACTAAGCTTTGCTCCCTAAACCTAATTTTCTCCCTCCCCCCCTCCCCGCACAAAAAAAAAAAAAAAAAAAAAAAAAAAAAAAAAAAAAAAAAAAAAAACAGGAAAAGAAAATTGAACACATGGGAGAAGCAAATAAATTCCAGACAAACACTTCATGTAGTTTCATGTGAGCACCACCTGATAGGAGTCATCCAATCCCAACCCTCCACATACTGGGCTGCAACATCTTTTCCAATCTACCATGTAGAACAAAGACAGGAAAGGAAAGGGAAATGGTCAGTGAATATATATTAGCAAATTTTCAAAGAAGTAACATAAAATTGCACATTCACTGCTTTATGAATAGATAAAACACACTAATAAGTAATAACCAGACAGCTATATATGTCGCGTATTTGTCAATAGAGAAACTTTGTCAAATGAAGTACATATCTGTAGTCCATCCACCAAAAAACAAAAAACGAAGTGGCAACATTGACTTATGAGGCAGACATTACATTAAATCCAACAAAATGCATATTTTGGAGTTCTTGTCTCAACAAATATCCATGTAATGACACCAACCCGGAAAATCCTGGTTTTTTTTTTAAAACAGACGCTCCTTCAGATCTCAGAGCTCGTGATGGAAAAAAAATTCTTATTGAGGTAGCCTTAAATCGTCCGCAAATATCTGTATTCCATCCACCAAAAAACAAAGTGGCAACATTGACTTATGAGGCAGACATTACATTAAATCCAACAAAATGCATATTTTGGAGTTCTTGTCTCAACAAATATCAATGTAATGACACCAACCCAGAAAATCCTGGTTTTTTTTTAAACGGACACTCCTTCAGACCTCAGAGCTCGTGATGGCAAAAAAATTCTTATTGAGGTAGCCTTGAATCGTCAGCTCTTTCTCTACATGGTGCTTATGATTATAAGAGGGATCAAATTTTGTGAAGCCTTAATGTGGTTATTTTTAAGTCTTGGTTTCTACTAATCCCATGTATGGCAACTTCTATAGTAATCTTTGTTTGAGTTGATATGTTCCAGTAATTACAACAAGATCCACCAGCATATGCATTCATATAGATTAAAAGCAGAAAATAGAACGAATATTTGCACAAATTTTATGGAAACTTCTACAGTTAAATGCTCTATTACACTATTACCTAACATCAATATAGACATACCAGCATCTGACACTGTTGTAACTTCAAGGGAATAGATTCCTCGGATCAATGTATAAAACAAATAAAACTTTTGTGCAAAATTATAAAAATTTTATACCTCGTGATCACCACCTTGACCACCTGTAGACGGAATCTTCCCGGGATGATCCGGAGGGTGAACAATAACAGCTAAAAGGTTTTGACCATCAGGAGACAATATATCGGTGACATCAAGGGAATGCCTACAGAACATCCCCTTTCCAAGAACTCTTTTGTATCCATTTAAGTATACCTCTGCAGAGTAATTTATGGCACGAAAGTTCAATTCCACATGCTGGTTCACAGCCTGGAAAAGTTTGTAAAACACAAGATGGTGACCAAGTAATTTAAAAAATAGCACATCCTGGATGAGCATATCAAAGAAACATATCAAAGAAAGCATTCTTCATAAATCAGAAAATAGCCCATATCTAGATTAGTGCGTCAAATAAAGCACCTGTACTAACAATATACATTAAAATAGATTCCATCTGTGGCATAGAGAATAGCAAGTCATCTGTTACACACCAGCTTACACGGAAATTTTGTGAAAAACCAGAATGTATAATGCTCCCTCCCAGAATCAGCAATGTCAATAATTGAATTGTTTTCCAAACCATAGAATGGATCAGGCAGCAACTGATTCTCTACCAGGGTCGTCAATACCCTGCACAAAAGAAATACATAGCATCCCTGATCAGCATGCACATAACTCTACTTCAACTACAGCATAAACCTTCTCTGTCTTCATTAACATTCCAATGTAATCTACAAATTTTTTTCATATTAGAAGGGAAGAATTGTAGTTTTAGCGAACTCTGCCAGAAGAATTTTCATATTTCATTCTTTAAGAAGAGAATCTATCAATCAAAGTTTGATAAGTCAAGCCAAGTTCTAAACTTTTAATCAACATCAAGACTCCTAGATTAGTTGATAAGCCATGCCAACTTGCCGGAGTTAAACATGAGAAGTATTGTGGCCTCTACATCTGGCGTTGTATTCTATCATGAGTAAGGTTTGGCCACTTCAGGGTTTTTTCTAATAAGATTAAACTAACACCAGAAATAAGTACTTTCAATTGAGCTATATTTTCATAAGACAATAAATAATTATACAAATCCAATAAGATTTCATCCTTAAACCAAATGACAACAGATGTAGCCCACAGGTCTTACTTCATATATGTTAGTCACCCTACCTCTTCTTAAATGTGGGACAAGCCTCTGACAGCTACTCTCGTATTAAATATATTTTCTATAATGGGACTCGTAGTAGTTCATAAAATTCATGACAAAATCATGTGCACTATTATTTATATTTTTCTTTTCAATGATCATTAAAACAGCAACACCAGCCAAATTAAAACCCAAAAGAATCCACCATTTCATCAAAATTCAAATGCAATCAAACAATTAGACATACATTAACACAAATCATCATTTAAACAGAGAGAAAACGAATGATTACGTTCCAGGGACGACGGCGGTCATCCAAGGTGAAGAAGGACCGGAAGGTGGGTGAGTAGTGGTGAGTTGTACTCCGGTGAGGTCAACCTCAGTGGATCTTGCAGCTAACCATCCCGAATTAAGCAATGTTTTCCCAATTTCTGATGACAAAATTCAAACCATTGAATTGCTATAGAGCTTTTCAACATATATATATATATATATATATATATATATATATATATATATATATATATATATATATATATATATATATATATATATATATTTCAACTAGTTATTTGTGATAGAAGCTTAATGGAGGTACAGCAATTTTGACCAAGCATGTTTGTCCATGCACTTACTTCAACTTAGATAACTTAAATTATATATCATGATAAATTATTAAAAAAAATAATGAAACAATATATATTGAGATAAATCTAATAATAATAAACACATTGATATTTATTGTTACATACTAGTGATTAAACATCGTCAAAGCTAGTAGGGAAATATTGTAAAAAAATAATTAATAAAACATAAAAGTATTGTGAAATTGGGGAATTCAAGTATTAAATATTAATTTCTTAATGTTGGTTATATGCATTATTAAAAACACGGACACATCTTGTGCATAAAAATACTAGTAGTTCACGTAGTGCACTGGGCTTCTTATCTTTACTCATAAGTAGTGAATCAGTTCCGGTTTCTCAACATGCCTTCCTCGACGTATTTGGCACCATTTAAAGATTAGATATTCTTTTCTTTCAATTCATAACTAGTCCTAGTGTTGTGTTGTTATATTAGTAATTTTGTTTTCTAGTCGGAGTTTACTAGAGTAGGTGTTAGGATATACTTCCTCCATTTAATTGTAGTTTACAATTTTACATATATCTTTATGCATATTTGTCAATGCATGATCTCAAACATCAATATTTTTGCTTTTAAATATAGAAATCTTATAAAAAGTTGTCAGTCAGAAAATATATACAATAAGACAAATTTAACAAAAACTATATAACTGTATTTTTTTTCTTAGTGATAAATCACAAAAAGAAGTTAGAGCAATTTATGTGAGAAGTGTCTAATATAGTGTTTGAGTTGAATGTGTGAAAGGATTACAAAGGAGATAGTGGCGCATTATTTCATTGAAAAAACAAATATGGTAAAAAATAAGAAGTAGTAGGATAATTTTCATTTAACATGAGAGAGCATGGGCCCTAATTTTTTGGTAACAATGGTGGACCTTCCTAGGCATATGATAAAAGAAAGTGTAAAAACTAATACACAGGGATTTTTTTTAAAAACAAATTCAACTCAATATACAATTTTACATTATAATGGCCAAGGGTGACATTAATTTCTAACCATTTATGCTATGATAATGTATTTTATGTGATTGCATGCACCCTTAGCCCCTTAGGCCCCGTTTGATTTGATGTAAAACAATTTCGATGAAAAATTAGTTTTATGGAAAACATAATTTCAAGGAAAACCACAACTACGAATTAGTTTTCCTTTGTTTGGATCCATCAAGAAATTATAGAGAAATTAAAAATAGGGAAGGAAATGTGAGGATAATGTGGTTTCCTTCTTTTAAGAAAAATGTTTTCCGCCATTAAGAATATAATTTTCCACCATTGAAAAAATAATTTCCACTTCTTCACAAAACAAACAAAGGAAAATGAAAAACAATGGGAAAATCATTTTCTATGATAACACTTTATATCAAACCAAACAGAGTCTTAATCAAAGTCGGTGCTACACTTGAATGTGTTGTTACGGCCCAATTTTCAATTATTGTTTTCATAAGTTTGGATCAATTAAAAACACCATTGTCATTGATAGGTATACATGAAGACTGATAAAAAAAAATAGTGGAATGAATTAGAAACTCAAATTTTAGTTGGCAAAACATATTACTCTTATATTACAAGTTAAATTTGATATAGAAACCACTTAAACTCAAGAATTTCACAGTAAACCTAGAGTAGTTTAACTCGATTAACAAAATTGAGAATTCAACTATCACAACAACATTAATAATAGTACAAAACAAAATCAAACAAACAATAAGGAAAACACAAGCAAGAAAATCTTAAATTGATAAAATTTAAAGTATCATTCAATTAAAAGTTACACACCATTGAATCAAAAGAAAAGGGGCAAAAATGCAACGAAATTAAAGAATCAGAAAGAGGAATTGAGTGGACTCACCAACCATATTTTCGACAATTGAATTTTGCTCAAGAACAAGTGAACGGAAGAATGCTGGAAATGAAAAAAAATTAGGGATTTCAGAATAATTGGAGAGAGAAAGAGGAGAGAGCTGTGATTTTGTGAAAGAGAGGTAAAAATAAGGTGGCAAAATCGCCGTTTGATTACAGTTAACTTGATTTTAACGGCTACTATTATGATTCGAGACTCATTGAGACTTTGAGATTGAGAGTGTAATTTTTCTTGGGAGAAAGAGTAACGTTAGTGGTAAGATTAGAAATTTACTGACATCAAATTTACCTAACAAAAATATTTGTAACATGGATGGAAGTGGGTAGATACTAGATAGTGAAAATTGGAGTAAGTCGAGTTAACTATATATTGATAGAATTGAAGTCTCTAAAAAAATCACAACTCGAGTTTAATCTTAATTTGTGAGTTAGAGTAAAATACAGTAGCAAAAGAATTTTTTTTAAGTAAAGAGCTTGAGACATCTTAAACTCGATTGATAAATAAACCAGTAAGAAAAATGCACTATTAAAAATGTACTAATAGTATATTTCGTATTCTTTCAAAAAAAATAAAAATTTGTATATTTCATATTAAACTTGGACGTAACGGTGCAGTATAACACCATTGAGAGATCATAAATTGAATGTAGTAAACAACGGAGTAATTACTACTCCGTATTGTTTTATCAACAACAATTTATTAGCTAAATTTGTTTTGTTAGTTCCTAACTTTTTTGGCAGAAAAAAAATAGCATCTAGTAAAACGGAAAAAAGAGCACCTATCTAGTTCTTGTTGCAAAAACAATGGGATGTCCTCTTTTCTTGTAGTAATTGTCAGGCAGATATCGTATGGGCTCACTGTCCTCATAAAGGAGTGCACGCCAATAATTACTCTTGTCATAAATAACAATGACAAGTGTCGGTTGGTACATTTAGACCTCATGTTAATACTAACATGAGTTCTAGATATACCAATGGAACGTTATTGTCATTGAAGACAAGAGTAGTTTCTGTTTCAGACAACCTCCAATTTCCTATTTATATACGAGTACTTTTTTTGGTTTTACATCAGGGTCAAGGAGCAGGTAGAACTACCTTGAAAGGTTAGTTCTAGTCAGGATGATGTATTAGCAACTGTATAGCAAAATTGTTTCTAGAACACTAAACCATTCAAGTTGATTGCAAGCTACTAGTTACTTCCAGTTGACTCTCTATTTCATTCTGACCCGTGTAATGCAGGATGAACCTTTTATCTGGCTTGTATCCTTCATCAGTCAGTTGCAAGAACAATTCTGCAATGACAGCATAAATGGACTCAGATTGTGGATGCACCTGATCACATACAACGAAGCTATGAACCTTCCTCTCAATCTCGATCCAACTTTTACCAGTCTCCTTAGATACACCCACTTCTTTCATTCTCTTTATAGTCCTAGCTCTGTCTCTCCAACTTCCTTCCCCTGAATATATATTCGCCAACTGTACATAAGGAGCAGGGTTATCAGGTTCTAACAGAAGCAATTGATCAGCAGCATATTTCCCCAGTTCAGAGTCACCACAGACGGCACAAGCACCAAGCAGGGCTTGCCATACAAGAATTCCTGGCTTTACAGGTAAGTTGTCAACAAATTTTTTAGCCTCGCTAAGAAGCCCGGCTCTTCCTAACATGTCAATGACACAAGCATAATGTTCCATTCTTGGATTAATATGGTGAAATTTGCTCATTGATTCAAAGAACATCATGCCTTTATCAACTAGACCCACATGACTACAAGCATGCAGCAATGATATGAATGTAACATCAGTAGGCTCTACTCCTGCCAATAACATTTCTTCATACAATTCAATGGCTTTCAATCCATCACCATGGCGAGCAAAGGCTGCTATTATAGAATTCCAAGAAACTGAGTTCTTTTGAGGCATACGACTGAAAGCTTTCATTGACTCCTCCTTATTCCCACACTTGGAATACATGTTAATGAGCCCATTGCTAACAAAAAGGTTAGCACCAAATCTCTTTTTTATGACCAATGAATGAATCTGCTGGCCAAAAGCCAAAGAAGTGTCTGTACCAAACACACCAAGAATGGCAGAAACCATATTTGGATCAATGTCGATTCCTGCTTTCATCATTTTGGTAAAGATTTGGATGGCTTCATCTTCGAGCCCATTTTGAGCAAAACCGGTAAGCACAATGGTCATGGAGACCTCATCAAGCTTATCTGCAGAGTAAAAAATCTGCAAGGCATCTTCCATGCTTCCACATTTAGAGTACATGTCCATTAGTCCACTCTCGATACAAAAATCTGAGTGAAATCCTTGTTTTAACACTAGCCCATGAATTTGTTTCCCTTCTTGTATAACCTGCAAACTAGCACAAGCTGATAACACACTTGTATAAGTCACAGAATTCGGTTCCACCAATCCGCCACGCATCATACTGAACACACTCAAACTATCCTCACACAGTCCATTTTGCACAAGGCCAGAAATCACAGCAGTCCAAGTAACAACATTCCTGTCACCCATTTCTCGAAAAACCCGGTCCCCAGAACCCGAACACCCACATTTAAAATACGAGGTTATCAAAGCATTTCCAACAGTAACCTCACTTTCAAAACCACTCAAAACCACCAACCCATGAATCATTTTACTCACCCTAAGCAAATCCACCCCATCACAAGCTGATAAAACAGTAGTAAAACTAGCTTGATCAAGCAGCCCAATACCCAATCCAACCATCCCCCTAAAATACTTAAACCCAAATTCAAACTCCCCATTACTCAAAAACCCAGAAATAACAGAATTCCATGAAACAGTATCTCTAATAGGCATTTCATCAAACACCTTAAGTGCATCCCCTAACGCCCTGCATTTCGCATACATTGAAAGCAGAGAATTCCAAACAAAAATCACAGTTCTGGGATCATTGTAAAATTTAAAATCATAATAGTAATAGTTTTTTATGATCAAAGAGTGAAGAGATGAACCCAATTGAAGATTTCTTTCTCTTCCAAATTGGGAAAGAAGACGACTTATATGAATGTGGGTGAGAATACATGGAGTAAAGTTGGGATTTGGGGAAGTAGTGAGATTTCTGGAGAAAATTGGAGGAGATAGATAAAGAGGATGATGGAGGAAAGAGGTAAGTTTGTGAGGCAGCCATCTGAGTTTCATCCATGTACCAACTCAATTTCCTGGATTTGTGACACTGGTAATTCGGGCGCTTTTTAGTTCTATTTTTGAAACCAAATTTCAGTGTTTATATAGTTGTACTTGACTACCTGCTTAGGACTTTAGATGACTCGGTTTTTATTTTAATCTTTTTTATCGTGTTTTTTTTCTTTCAAATGAGTATATTCCTATTGAGAGAATTCAAGTTGATCTCGGTGATGAACAACTCAAGTTTATATCATGGTAAAATTTTAATAAAATTGTATTGAAGTACGTGCTCGGGAAAAAAAATGATTTTCAACAAGAGTTTTGACCTATTACAAGTTGGCAAAGAAAAGTAAGAAAACGGAAGATAACAAATGTTATCTTGGGACCGTTTGTGTTTAACTTAAGGTAAAAGTTCATTTTGGTCATGAGAGAAAACTAGAAAAGCAAGTTCATGAGAGAGACAGAGACATGAATGTAAATCCAAGCGGTAATTGCTACTTGTTAGATCTGTCAAATCTTTTAACATATGGTACATAAAATAAACGGAGGACACTTCTGCTTCAATGGAGCTCACAAGAGTTACAACCAGGCTTCGGGGAAATCTAATGGAAGAAGACAACACTCCTACCATTTAGGGTTAACCATGCCATTTGATTCTCCCTTGTTCTTAGGGGTTTTCATTTGATTTGGATGGTTACGGAAAATGAAGATGATGAAGAGGGAGAAGATAATGAAGATGATGATGGCGATGCGGGAAGGAAGAAGAAAAAGATGGCGAGGATGTTGGGTTTGCAAAGGTAACTAGTACTATTAACGCCGGCTTAACAGAAGAAATTCGTGATATTTCTTTGGACATTATCACCCTTCATTTTTCACGCGAAATGACTATTTTACCCCGAGATAAACAACCCTTGTTTATCTCTGAGATCAACCTGGGCCAGCTCTGTTTCTCCCTTAGGTTTAGATATGTCACAAGCTAATAACTCAATTTTGCTTTAATCTTTTATTACATGTCCAATACATGCTTTGATTTAAAAATTAATACTTCCTTCGTTTTTATTTACTTGCAACACATCTCTTTGACACACATTTTAAGGGAGATATTAGACTTGGTAAACGAATAAATTAAATCAGAAAGATTTACCACCAATAAGAAGAAAGGGATAAGTTGTTACGGTTAAAATTTCATAGCTTAATTAATTCGTTTACCTAGTCTAATCACCTCCTCGAAAAGTGTGATAAAAGGTGTGTTGCAACTATTGAAAAAATAGAGGAAGTATGAACTACATGATTAAGTAAATTAAAATTTAGTAATATAAATTGGTTCGAACTCTTGGAAGTGTGTCAAGGACCAATATAATTAAAAAAACACAATTTGGTGAGTATATTTAGGATCTTGCTAATGAGCGTTATCTAATGTCCCGAGGCATTACATAACTAATTAATAAATAACCTAGAATATATGGTTAATTTTGGAATATAATGCATGTCAAAATCACGCATAATATTTATTTGGGAAATTCTCATTGATAGCCTCGTACTTTTACGTATTTCCAATGGTAGCCACTTCGTATATGAATTATCTTTGGTAGCCTCATACTCTTAACATTTTCACTTCCGTAACCTTAATTACTATAAACCTTCAAGTGGGTGTTAAATTTAACTGAATTATTTTTAATTGAATTAATAGTATTTTTTATGTTTCATAAAAAAATAAAAATTAATTTTAATTATAAAACATCCCTCCTCCACCCAACCACTAGCCCAGCCACTTCCCTCCCGTAGTCCCCTCTCCCCCTCTACTTCCGGCGGCGCCGCTCCGGCTGCCCCTCCCACTTACTCTGGCTGCCTTTCCCGAACCCTCAATCGTCCCTCCTCGTCCCCCCCCCCTAATCTACCACAACCACCAATACACTTTCCCTGTTTTTATGAAATTAAAATCCCCAAAACCAAAGTCGTTCTTCTTTCCTTTCTTTTGCTACTCACTATCTTCACCAATCAACCATCATCAATTGTCCTCGCTGACCGTCACCATCATGTCAGTTAGCATTATCATCAACAAGAATAAAAAAAAAAACATGGTAGTTGGCTTAATTGAATCAATTGATTTGGGCTAAAATTGAAGCTTGCGACTATAAATTATGGGCTAGCGGCGCTACTCGGTAGTGAGGCGGTGTGGTGATGCTGGTTGCAGGTTGGTGTGACGGTGGATGGTTGTTCAGTGTGTGGTGGTCATGGGGAATTGCCCGATTGCTGGTGTTGCGGACTTTGTGCGTGAGGGAGTAGGGGCTTGGAAATTGAGCTTCAGTGCCGGTACCGACTCCAACAGTGGAGAGGGAGAGGGAAGGGGGTGGCTGGCTGGTTGAGGGAGGGGTGGTTATTTTTTTTTTTTAAAAGATTAATTAAATTATGATAACTAACCTTAGTTAAGTATTTTTAGTTATTATAACACTAACCTTGGTTAAACTTAACAGCCAGTTAACGGTTTTAGCTAAATAAGGTCATGGAAGTAACATTTTAAAAATAGGAGGCTACCAAAGATAATTCATATACAAAGTGGCTACCATTGGAAATATGCAAAAGTAAGCGGCTACCTCGAGAACTTTCAAGTTAACAATTTTAGTTCTTTTATCTAACACCTCGAGAACACTTGTTTGCTTCAGCCTTACAATATTAAGAGGAAAGTTAACAAAAAAAGGTTTTTTAGATAAAAGTAATAGAAAAATCAAGTTTATAATCTGATAAACTTGAAGGGTTGTAGGAGTACTTTCAAGTGGGCAGTTAAGGGTATAATTGTCATTGACACCGTCAATTGAACTGATAACATATTAGTTGGTGGGATATAATTAAGAGCATTTAATTTGGTGGTAAGCATAATCTAGTCCTTTAAGCAACTCCGATTACGAAATCTCAATTTCAATGGAGAAAACAAAGGAGGAGTTAAAGCTCACAAGCAAACGACAAAAATCTACTCTATAGGGTTAATCATGCTCTTTATGTCTAGCTCCATTATTTTTCTTAGAGTATTCGTTTAATTTGAGAAAGAAGTCGCCGGAAGTGGTGATGTTGGTGTTGGGAGAAGGCTTAAGTGAAGCGGATTGAAGACGATGATGAAGGTGGGTAGGGATCGGAGGAAGAAGAAATGAAGATGGGTAGAGATCGAAGGAAGAAAAAAGATGAACACCTTTATCATTGTCTCGAGTCTCTCAACCATCTATAAGAAAATACAAGTTTATTTTCGTGATAAACAAATTGTGTTTAATATGAAGATATAATTGTCACTCTTAAGATTAATAATACCTCCGTTCCAAATTACTCGCTACTTTGGGTAGTATTTGTGAGATATAAAATATTACAAAGTTGCGAGTACCGGAGGAAGTATAAACACTTCATCCTATTAGATGATGAATTGATGATGGTGTGGCGCAAATATGACAAAAGTATACTTCCACCTTCCAAGTGAGAAAGAAGTAGGAAAAGGAAAAAAAAACAACAGTCCCGACCCTATCTCACTTGCTAGTAGAGTACTTCGTAGAAGCATAGTATCTGTAAATTTGCAATTAATTCTACTGTAATTTCAATAACTAATCCCCTTATCCATCCTTAATCCAGACCTAAATTTCATACCAAAATCTCAATCACAGACCAAAAAAAAATGGATGTGCTAACTTTCGGAATAATAATCGGAATTATAATTCTATTTTTCGCCATTGTTTGCATCATCACCATTGAAGGCACCTGCAACCGCCGATCCACCTAACACCCCCTTAATCACTCTTTCTCTCTCCTACTCTACTCTAATGCCGTTGAATCAATTCAGTAGTCGTGAAATTATGATAAATGCATTAATCGGTGGTGGTTTGACGGCATTTTACGGTGGTTTTCCGGTCGTTGAGCGCCGCTTTGTCGGTGGTGCTGAGCAGTACTTTCTCTCTCATAATATGTTTTATCTCTCTAAATTTGTGTTTCTCTGTTGTGATATCAAATAGATGGTATGGAATCGGAGATGCATGTTTTTTTTTTAAATGTGGTGAATGATGATGATAGGGAATTGGAATTGGAATTGGAATTGGAGAGGCATGGAATGAAGCTCGATCCGGCATCGGTGTCGTTTACGCCGAATTTGGATGAAGGATTTGTTGTATTATGGGAGTTTGATTGTACTGAGATCTCTAAGTTGTGCTTTCGAAATGCAGCTGCTTATCTTAGGTATCGTAATTGTTAATTTGTTCGAGAGAAATAGATAAGTGGTTATATGATCATTAGAGGCTTGAAATTTGTTCTAGTAGCCTGAAAAATATAACAATTTGTTGTTAGTTACGAAGTATAAATTGTTGTATGATCACATGTATCTTGGAAATTGAATGATGTAGGATATATTATGAAAGATACAATGGTTCAAAATGTAGTTGTTTTAGACGAGCTATGGTAATGACTGACCACCTGATAAGCAGCCAATTCAGTTGCATAAACACATTTATGAAATGATACTTCATGGTTTATGTTGATCTTTAAATTATTGGGATTCAGACTGTCAAATCTTATTCTCTGGCTCTCTGCTTAGTTTTGATTTGGTTACAGTGGATTAATCTTTCTGCTTTATTAACATTTATAATTCGGTGTTTGGTTTATTGAGGTTTCTTTTATGCAGATATAAGAGTCAGCTTGAGAGTTTGCATAAACTCTTGGATCCAATTTGGGATACACCGACTTTTGGAATCTCAGAAGCTGCCTCGTCTTTTGATAGCAAGATGAAAAATAAGCTGAATGAGTTAACTCATTGGTCAGCCTGCCTTCAACATGCTGTCTCCCTTGGACAAAAAGAGATGGGGTAAGAATTTGTTGTGTGATTCAATACACTATACTAAATTCGAGCTTATAATCTTATGTTACAAACTTACAATTCAATAACTTGGATGATTTTAAGTAAACTTATTCTTGCAATGTACTGTTTTCTGCTGGATAGCAGGGATGTTATGGGCCTTCTTTTGTCCCCAGCTTCTAATGTACTGTTCTGCTGGATAACAGGGATGTTATGGAACTTTTCCGGAATTACTATTTTGCAGGGATGATTTCGAAACCCACAGAAGATACTAATGCTTATGGATCGTATGATGTAAAACAACTCATTTTCGAATTGTTCCTATCTCAGCATATTTATAGGAAGCAAGTAAAGCAGCATACTACATAGCTAATCTAGGTCACTTGACAGATTACAACAAAGATATAGATCATGTATCGATGTAAATTTTCTTATTTTATTCTTGTAGATAGGTTGTGTTGGGAGAAAACGTGCTTTGTTTTCATCAGGGTCCAATTTAGTAGGTGAGGCACCTTAGGAGTGGTGGGATGATAAGAGAATCCCCACCTCAATGTCGTAAGATACAAATCTTGCCACTAGACCAAGTACTACGTGGTAAGCATATGTAATGTTTGTTACCTTTCAAATATTATGCAAATTCAATTACCAAAATCCTTATTCACTTCGGAAATAAATACACTAAATCTTGGAAGTTGATGCTCAAGCTTGAAAATTTATGTTGGAGAATGCAGAACTATTGCACTTCACTATTGCAAATCCTGTGGACGAATTTCCTTCACCGCGTTTTGCTGTCTACTTCGTATTATTTAAGTGACTACTCTCAAAATAAGTGAGGTGCAACCACTTTAAAAGAATGGTAGGACTTGGGAATACTTAGCTAAGCGACTAATTGAAAAATAAGTGTTAATTCGATTAAATAATAGACCTTAAAAAGAACACAATAAACAGGCATGTTTAAGAAGATAAATTCAAGATCAAAGGCAAAGAACAAATTGAGCTTCTTATTACCTCAATGCAGTTTACAAAAAGGCAAATATCATTAATTCACAAATTGTTTATAAAAAAAATCACTTCTGCATTCTTATCACCAAAACATATAATGGCCAAAGTCTTTCTCAAAACCATCATTGCAGGAAGCGTATAGAAAATCGTCGAGGGCAACACCCCTCACAGCAATTAAAAAAAAATGAAATTCACCCAAGAACCCTTTTGTTCTCTATCAAAATTATTTCTATTGTTAATTTCTTTTGCCCTACTTGTTGGCGAAGGGTATTCTTCGAGTTGAAACACATCAATATACACGAGCTTTAGGAGGGAAAGACTCAATCTCGTCGTCCAATGTGTTCATGTGGACTGGCCGATAATCTAGTCTAACCTTCTCATTTTCCCAATATCTGCATTATCAAAAGAAATGTGCAAGAACATATAGAATTATACACTAATATGTTAAAATTCAAGAACAAAATAACCAGAGAAGCAATTGTATGCAGACAAAAATCGAAGACAAAAACACTATATATTCATTATGCTAATTAATTGTTTTGATCATGAAGCAGTGGAGAAAAAGATGAGAAGACTCAAGACACAAATATGAATGTAAACTAACAAACTGCATGCAGGAGATAATGATCCTATAAGTGGGTGGACAAAGTTTCTTTCAGTAAGACGGTGAACTGGGAGTCCACTGTATTTCAGGAAACTAATTGTCATCAATCATTATGCCTTAATATTCATTAGCATTCTTGTAGTTAGAACAAGAGCATAGAGTGTAAATAACATACCCTAGAGTGTGTTTCATCCAGTTTTGATCATCTCTTGTCTGCAAAAGTGCAAAAGCAAGTGATCAAGTCAAATGTCAAAAACATTCAAGAGCATCCCAAAATTACAGTTAAAGATAAAAGTATTAAAGTACTGCAACAGAACAAACCGTGAAATCTTCACGAGCATGAGCTCCTCTGCTCTCTTTCCTAGCCTCAGCAGAGTGCATAGTGATGCATGCATTAATCAACAAATTTTCCAATTCTATGGTTTCGATCAAATCAGAATTCCTGAGAAGAAAAAAATGGAGTAGATAAATGATTAGACTGCTAATGACATAGTCATGAGTAAACTCGTATCAACGAAAACATTGCATATAAGCCGTACCATATTAAACTGCGATCTTTGACTTGAACATCTTCAAAACTCTCCCATGTTTTATCAATCAATTGACAACCTGCAATTTATTGATACAAAAACAGAATGTTACTCATAGGAACTGTAATTTGCAATGGAGTTCATCTGTTATAGTAGAGCAAACCAAGTCCTCGTGGATAAGGAAAAACTATGTTTGACTTGATTAAAAAAATAGGGCACATGATCTATATTAAGGACACTGAATAAGAAATTTTATTAAAAAAAATAATAAATAAATAATTGCTTCCTTTGCTTCATATTACTTGCAACACTAAGAGTTTCACACTTGTTAATGCACAATTTAAGCACATTGTAAAGAATCCAACAAGATCCCACATGACTATAATTTTTTCTTCCCCACAAATCACAATATGTTGTAATAGGAAGGAGTATGAATAGCGCCAAAATCCTAATGATGCAACTAAAGTGGAGCAGAGGAAGCATGATATCAGATGCAATCCTTTCTTTCTGTTTTGCAGTAAAACCTCAAGCAACCCTTCCCTTCCCATAATTCGTCTATTTCATCTATTCATTTATTTCATTCATGGGCAAAAAGGTTCTAAAAACCCTAAAAAGGAAAAGTGCACACTACATAGCTTATAACCACAGTAGAATTATTCAGGCATCTGGAAAATAGATCCTATATGCCAAAATAAGTAAGTAGTGATCTTATACACCAAAATGTTTAAAGCTAAATTCCATCCCAGCTTTGATTAAGATTTGAACAAAACTTAATCCACAATGTTCTGTGTATTTATTAAGGGGTTAAGGTCATCATATCTGAGGTTTAAGCCTCACAGGTTAAGAGCACCTTTTTGGAGAATCAAAAACATATCATACCTTCTTCCAATGTACTCTGTGTGCGAAAAACAGCAGCATTATTCTGCATAACTCGTTGCATGTTTAGGCGGATTTGGGAAGTTGGAAGAGATCCATTTGAATTTCTTAATTTGTCTAACCACTGAATAGTCTTCTCCCCAGCATCTTTGGGCAAAGGTTTCTGGTTCTCCCCTGCAGAATACCAGATTATAAGTATGTTGATGGAACTAAACTGTCCAGTAATCAGAATACAAGCAGTGAGAAGCAGAAATATCTTCACAAGTCCACTTGCCTGGTTTACTGATCTCTGAAACTCGGTTGGCACAAGCTCGACCAAAAACAACAATGTCAAGAAGAGAGTTTGCACCAAGACGGTTAGCACCATGAACTGATGCACAAGCAGCCTCTCCAGCAGCCAATAATCCAGGAACAATGGCATCTGGGTCATTACCTTTTATGGTGACAACCTGAGCAAAGAATCATTAAGAATCCAATAAACTTATACATACAATTGCCAAAAAAAAAAAAAAAAAAAAAAAAAAAAATCAAATTCACAGTTTTCTTACCTCTCCATAGTAGTTGGTGGGGATTCCACCCATGTTATAGTGAACAGTTGGCAAGACTGGGATGGGTTCCTTTGTAACATCAACCCCAGCAAAGATAGCAGCTGTCTCAGAGATACCAGGGAGTCTTTCCTGAAGCACTTCTGGAGGCAAATGATTCAAGTGGAGGTAGATGTGATCCTTTAAGGGTCCTGTTAATGACAGGATTTACATGAATACAGATTAGCATGAGTGACAGATGACAGGTAAGATTGACCAAGTATGTAACAGAGGACAGATTGTGACTGAAACAATCATTTGCAAAGCTTCATTGATATTATTAGTGGCAATACACTACTTAGTTAAGTAAACCTCAAAAGGGGAGAGGGGGGGATCAATAGTCAGTTCTAACAGCCTTCAAAGAGGTCAAACACAACCATCATCTGACTAACAAATAAATAGACTGTGCAAATTGAGAATTCTAGCAACAGCATATATGAGTATCCCACAACAGTCTGGATAGATCAACATATTCTTCGAGATTCTTCCCTAAACCTAAGTATCTGACAGCCACAATTCCATATTTAGGCATATATCATGCACACAAAAGTTGAAGAACATATGTATCTCACCTACACCACGGCCTTCTCGAATTTCCATTGTCATGGATCTAGACACAACATCCCTGGATGCAAGATCTTTAGCTGTTGGTGCATATCTTTCCATGAAACGCTCACCCTCACTATTTCTTAGAATACCACCTTCACCACGGGACCCTGATAGCAAAGAACAAGTCATTAGATCATTGAACCATTGCTTTAAATTATCTAGATGCTAGATGGGAAGAAAGTTTTATTCTCAAGCAAAAATTGCCAAAAAAGCAGCCACAAATGTACATGTTTAGCAAAATGTATTTTTTCAGGGGAAAAAACCACAGCCTTTTCCACTACAAAATGATATTGAACATTCATTTGGAAGGATTAGGCATAAGAGCTGAGAGCAACAAAAAATCAGTATGAGAAGAATCAACCTTCAGTGATTAGGCATCCAGCGCCATAGATACCAGTTGGGTGGAACTGCACGAATTCAAGATCCTGCAAAACAAATATGTTGTTATAGCAAAACATTAAAGAAGGTGCACAAATCATGTTAGAGTTGCCTCAAACTGGTGCCACTAAGTAAACAACAGAGGACGAGAATAAAACAATGGCAAGGAGTTTAACCTCTAATGGGAGGCCAGCACGGGCCACCATTGCATTTCCATCTCCGGTACATGTATGCGCAGAGGTTGCAGAAAAATATGCTCGTCCATACCCCTAATAAAGGGAACACAAGCCAAAAAAGAAAACTTATGAACATGGCATAATGCAAGAATAGGGTAAATTTGAAACAATAAAACTTGACAAGCAAAAAATACCCCAGTAGCCAAAATTGTTGATTTGGCACGGAATCTATGCAATGTCCCATCTTCCATATTCAAAGCAATCACACCTTGGCAAGTACCTGAGCATAATGCCAAAAATCAGAAATATTTACCACAAACAAGAAAAACATGCTAACCTATATTATGACCACAAGTTCTAAAAAATGATGACAATTGAAACTATTCAATCATGGATAGCAACTTGACTCAACAAATTAAACTTGACTAAGAAAGAAGGGTATTTCAATATATAAGATTTCAGCAATAACATGCAAACACCATAACTAGGTATATTGTATAAAAATTTATTCCAAGCATAAAACTCAGTCTCAATGAGAGCATTCTCAATTAATCAAAAGCTTTCCTTCCAAAAGGTAAATTCTAGCTCAAAGGTAGGTCATATTTTCTTAGGTAGTACTTCCATCCATTTATAATTAGATATTGAAATAAAATCAGTATAAATATTATGATTATGAATAATATAATCTTGCCTTCATCATCCATAATAAGATCCAAAGCAAAGTATTCCACAAAAAATTGTGTATTATGCCTCATAGCTTGTCCGTAAAGAGTGTGCAATAAAGCATGGCCGGTTCGATCAGCAGCACATGCACATCGATATGCTTGCCCCCCTATAATAAGATGAAAGGCAATGCAGAAAGTATAAGAGATCAAATTCAGTAATCCATAATAGAATTTGAGCTTTTTTTCTTATCCACAGACCTTTTCCAAAGTTCAAGCTTTGACCACCGAATG